CGTTAGTGATAAGGGTGGAGAGTATGTCGTAATTCCTCATCAGTTAGATGTGGAGATAACGAAAAAGCATCTTGAAGATGTTTCGCTTTATCGCCCATCATCTGAGGAAGAAATCAAAAGTAAGTACCGAAAACTAAACCATGCATGGGCCAAAATGGCAAGGGCTGCTGGTTTGAAACCATCAGTTATCTCTCAACTTAAAGTTGCCTTACCAACATGCCCCGTCTTGTACTTACTTATAAAAACTCATAAGTTAGTATCCAGCGATGATCTTGCGTCTACCGATCCATCATTATTTAAGGTTAGACCTATCATTAGCTGTGTAGACGGGCCAACGGACAGGATAACATGGTTTTTAACCTTAATATTTAACCAGCTGTTGAAACACATTCCAGNGGGGGCCCTACCAATAGCACCATTTCCCCCAACGTTCTTTAGACAGCAAGAGCCCAATAATGAAGTTGATGTTAAATTTCGGATGTTTGCGAATGAAACTCTCAAAGTCCTTAATCACTATCGCGCGAAAAGATACAGCTCCAACCTCACTCCAGTGCAAAAACGTGGTATGCGAGGGGTACGAGACCTGATAAGGTTGAAAACCATAAGACTTTCCGTTAGTGATAAGGGTGGAGAGTATGTCGTAATTCCTCATCAGTTAGATGTGGAGATAACGAAAAAGCATCTTGAAGATGCTTCACTTTATCGCCCATCATCTGAGAAGGAGTTTAAAAGTAAATACCGAAAATTGAACCACGAATGGGCCAAAATGGCAAAGGCTGCTGGTTTAAAACCATCAGTTATCTCTCAACTTAAAGTTGCCTTACCAACATGCCCCGTCTTGTACTTACTTATAAAAACTCATAAGTTAGTATCCAGCGATGATCTTGCGTCTACCGATCCATCATTATTTAAGGTTAGACCTATCATTAGCTGTGTAGACGGGCCAACGGACAGGATAACATGGTTTTTAACCCTAATATTTAACCAGTTGTTGAAACACATTCCTGCCCATCTTACGAATACCCAGATGTTTCTGGATCGTCTACGTACCGCGCAGCCCAACAGCGCGTGTGTGATGGAGTCCTTCGGCGTTACCGCCCTTTATACAAACGTGTCGAATGACTCCGCAGTGCAAGCCATATTCAAACTCCTTACACAACACGAAGGAGAAATAAACATGTATGGCTTCAGGATAGAGCAGTTGATGGCACTCTTAAAAGAATGCTTGAGCTGTTCAATCTTCAGATGGTCTGGAAAGTACTACACTCAAATAAGAGGGTTGGCAATGGGACAACGACTGGCTCCAAGGCTTGCTACTGCATTTATGTCTAAGGTGGAAGCACCGGTGACTGATCTCGGGCCGCTACTCTACTGTAGGTATGTAGACGACTGTTTTGTCCTTTGCTCAACACAAGAGGAAATGGACAAATGTTTCGAATTGTTAAACGCACAGTCAGAGTATATCAAGTTCACCCGAGAAAAGCCGAAAGAAAAATGGCTTCNGACAACGACTGGCTCCAAGCCTTGCCATTGCATTTATGTCTAAGGTGGAAGCACCGGTGACTGATCTCGGGCCGCTACTCTACTGTAGGTATGTAGACGACTGTTTTGTCCTTTGCTCAACACAAGAGGAAATGGACAAATGCTTCGAATTGTTAAACGCACAGTCAGAGTATATCAAGTTCACCCGAGAAAAGCCGAAAGAAAAATGGCTTCCATTTTTGAACGTACAAATTCACCTGTCGGAATATGGCTACATTACAAAGTGGTACCGAAAGCCAAGTAGTAAAAACATCTTGGTTCATTACCTCTCCTCTCACTCCTCTCACACGAAAAGGGCGCTCATAAGAAACATGTTTCGAACAGCAACCAACGTGTGCACGAGAAGAGAGCAGAGAGAGGAATCCCGGAACTTGGCACGGCAAGTAGCCATTTCTAATGGCTACGAAACTGTAGCTCAGCATAGGTGTAGAGGAAATCGTAGGCCTCCAAACGACAACTCTAGCGATAGAAGGGTCCCGTTTATCCTACCCTTCATCTCAAATGATATAAGTACAGCTATAAAACGCTGCTTAAGAAGGGCGGGCTTAGAGAATTCGGTGAGCGTAGTTGAAATACCACCGAGTAATCTTAAGCGCCAGCTAGTTCGTAACCGCCTATATGACCGTCTATGTGCAACTCAAAATTGCATAATTTGCCCCAATGGTAGAGACGGTGATTGCATGAGCTCGGGTATAGTTTATCTGATTTCCTGTAATACGTGCGGTGACGAATACATTGTCGAAACGGGTAGACCCCTCTGTGTCTGCATGAAAGAACACCTAGCCGGCAAAAATAGACCGAATACCCCGCAAGGCACGCATAGGACCCAGAAACATAACGGGGACGACTTCGAAGTATGTGTCACGATCCTCGCACGCGAATCAAGAACACAGGCGCGAAAAACTCTCGAGGCACTCTGGATTAATTCCAGAAATCCGAAAATGAACCGCAGGGAAGAATGCCTCATTATCACGCGTGATATAGGGCAGTTTATAAGACTGCTATTCTGATGGAAGGGGCACATTATACTTCCATGTGATTTCTCTGCGGTTGGTCTCTACGTGACATACTTAGTGGAAACCTCATAGAAAGCGGTGAGTGTGCAAAGCTGTGTTCAAAGTGATTGAAATCTTGGTTTGGAGTTTCTTTGTTTGGTTATGGAGGCGTCTGGCCGAGTGAGTTGCTATCAACTTGACCTTTCCAGGCTCTGAAGAAGGCGAAATCCGCCGAAACGTCAGCTTAATCGTGAACAAGGAATAGTAACACCTCGCGTTTGCTCAACAAAAATACGAAGAAAATTACTTGATCAATACCGAGGTTAATAGAAAGTCGGTCGTGAGAGATCAGTTATTTAAAGCAATCGAAAATTATGAATACTGCGCTGCATTTTTGCAAAGTTAACAGACTCTTGGAATTTTCATCTCCTATTGTCTAATCTCTTTCGTGTATTACGGGACATAAGTTAATTAAATCTCTGAGTAGTTGGATCCTCGATTGTTCCACTTGTTTTATTTGACTTGTTAACACATACTATCCATCATGTTTGTAATCTTTGCAATCCGAGCATAGGAAAGGGGGGGTGGGGGGAGGCAAAATCGACGAAATGCGCTGTTGCCTTTGAAGTTGTTCAATTCAAATTTGCAGCCGCGTCATCCTAAGTGGGCTAATATCAATGTTTAATTACCATAGCCTTAGTTAATACACTTCTCATAATTTGGACAGTTATTTGGTCTTTCGTTTACCGCAGTTGTACGATGTGCCAAATGCAATACCCACGTGGTAATTAGCTCCACCCCACCCCCGGGCCCACCAAGCCTTCCATGGGCTGGAAGCACTGAAGTGATACATCATTATGTCATCGTTTATGTCCGCAACTCATTGATAGGCCAGAAATGCATTCAGTCACCTTTAATAATGCTTGGTGAAGGTGAATGCATGATATATCCCTTAGGGATTGATCAAAGCTGGAAAATTTTTTCTTCATTCCTTATAGCATTTTCGGAAATTTCTTGACTCTCTTCGTTCTCCCTCTAATCAGCTATTTAAATTCTACGCTATCGAAGAAACTTCGCTTTGAATTTCATGACTTTTAGATTTGACAACCGCTCAGTGACATTTGAAGAGCATCAGGCTGAAGAACACAATCTTTGGCACTATCTCTACTTTATTGTTTGGCTACAAATTAAAGATGAGACGGAATTTACCGGTCCGGAGAGTTACGTAGCGCAATGCGTTAAGGTGAGTAATCTCAGCACGCACAAATCTAGTTGACAACATCAGAAAAACTGTTGAAAGCGGCGTCGACTGTTCACATTCGTTAGTATCGCGGTTAAGCGAACGCAGAAAATACTTATGAGACAACCATGAGGAACATCGATTGGAGTTCGATGTTGCAATTCCTTACCAGTCTATTTCGAGCACTATCTTGAAAGTTTTTTTAGGACCGGAATCTGGACTGGTTCCCACGAATGCGGGCCATTTCCTTACAAGACTGTGACAGCGAATCGGATCAGTCAGAAGTCACAGCTCTTCGTGAACAACTACGACAACAAAGTCAGTCGATTAACGAACTTGCAGCGACTGTGGACAACCTCAGACAGGTTGGATTTTTGAGTTAATTCTTAGTGCAAGTAATATAAAACTGTAGCAGTTGTAATCTTTCAGTTTATAATCGAGATGAGGTCATAGCAAAGAAACTACTGGTTGGAATATTGGTTTGGAAAAGCTCAGCACATGTGACCGACCAAACGGTGGCATTTTTTGCTTGAAATCTACGGTTGTGTTATTCACTTTTGTATCTCTATTTCCTTCGTTAACAACGTGTTCATCATATTCTTATCGTGGCGCAACCGAAATGCAATTTCTTGTTGAGTTCTTCGTTATTACCTGTATATATTAGATATATCATATTTGTTGAGATGCTTATTTGGAGAGAAAATAAAGGTTATTTTGTGAACTCTGAAACCAAACAGTATAACATTACCCTCGAGAGGAAATTTCACTAGTAAATGAAATCGCTGTGCTATCAGAGTTTGCATTCGTCCTAGCACGGTCCTACTGGTAAGGCGGCAAACATCCATTCGATCATAACTGGTTTGGGAATGCATGTGGCCCCTTGGTGCGAGCACCTCGATATTTCAAGAACGGCGATTCTCGATGGGTATCTCACGAATTTTTAGGGAACAAGACATCGTCAAGCCGCAACTCTAATCCATGCATAAACTTGACCACCTGTATGGATGACAGTTGCAGTTGTCTCAAGTCTATCAATACGACTTCTACAATGCTGATATAATTGCAAAACTCCGGACACGAGGCGTCTGCGGTGGGGAACGAACGTGCTATTGTCCTTTCCGGGGTGTAACGCGTTCACCACCACACCATGCGGGTCCTTCGTTTCGCATGTCTCTCAGCTAGTTCTGTCGATCTCTGCCATCAGCAATCACCCGTCAACAGGATTGATCTAGGAAGTCCAAATCGGCATTGAACCCATTGATTATAATCTATCAATATGGTTACTCATATGCTTTTTCTTAGTAGCTCCAGTTCGTCTTCATCCTCTTCAACATCATACTAACAGTGTCGTGTACTCTACTGATCCGCTTCCATCGAAAAGCTTCTTTGGCGCTTCTTGATTCCATTCTGTACACATCTTCATTACCGTTACGTTGTTGCTGCTCATCTTCACCTTCATCCTCTAGTTATTAAAATCCCCATGAATTGAAAAGTCTCTTACGAACTATGGTTGCAACGGTTGGCTTCCGTTCTTTTGGATCTTTGGATCATCTTTAGCCAGGAATAAAAGTAAATGTTTATTATCAGCACAATAATGTTATGTTATGAAAAAGTGTAAAAAAACGTTGTACAATATCCTTCTTGAACGCATTGTCAAGTCATCTATCAAGGACTCAAATGCAAGTGTGCGTGCAGTGCAGGAAATCGTCACCTCAGAGAATTAGGCATTTAGACTTCTTCTATACAACGCTGCCATATCGACGGCACTTTTGAGGTGAGGAGAATGAAGTCGCTGGTTTTACTCTGTTTAGCTTGATACTTACGAATATGTTGCTAAACTTTGTATCTGGGGCTGCGTAGAGTCACAGGTAGCGCACTATTCTCTCCTAGGAAAAACTAGGAGCTTATTACTTAGAGGTGACTCCCAGCAGCTTTTCATGCACTTTTCTGCCATTTCATTGCATGCCGAATTAACTCTATTTTATAGTGCGAAATAACGGATGGTTTTAAGGCTGCTGTTCTTGCCACTCCGACGCATTGGCTGTTAAATTTTCGGTATTGCCTTTTGTACTCCTTTTCAGATGATGCGCGATAAAGGGTAACATCACTAAGATGTGCCTCTGTTATCTCAACATCTAACTGGCGAAGAATAGCTACAAACTCTCCATTCTTATCACTAACTGATAGTATAATGGTCTTTGAATTAATTAAATCCCTACTTCCTTGCAGACCACATTTGTGCGGCTGTGAGGTTAGAGACAATATTTCTACCACGATAATGATTTAGGGTTTCAAGAACGTCGTCCGAACACATGCAGAATTTCATATCAACTTCCCAGAGATAACAGAGGTACATGTTAGTGATGCCACAATTCGGGTCGAAGTAGCAAAACAGCAGGCTTAAAACCATCTGCTATTTCTCACTATAAAATAGATAGACTAATGTGTCCCGTCCTATACTTATTAAAATACATAAGTTAGTATCCGCTGATAATCTTGCGTCAACCAACCCAACATCCTTCAAGGTTAGACCCATCATCAGCTGCGTAGACGGGCCAACGGATAGAATAGCATGGTTTCTAAGTTTAATACTCACCAAGCTACTTAACCACATCTCAGCTCACTTCACGAACACCCAAATGTTCCTAGAACGTCTACGTAACGGGTCTCCTAATAACGCGTATGTGATAGAGTCTTCCGATGTTTCTACGCTCTACACCAACGTGTAGAATGACTCTGTAATGCAAACCATCTACGAGCTTCTTGTTATACATAAAGGAAGAATAAATATGCATGACTTGTCCATCCAGCAGCTAATAGCTCTCTTAAAGGAAATCTTAAAGGAGTGCCTAAACTGCTCGATCTTCAGATGGTCTTAGAAATATTACGCGCAAATAAGGCGGACCCTTGTCATTGTGTTTATGTCTAAGATAGAAGCTCCTGCTCTCGATCCTCGGCCGCTATTCTACTGTAGATATATAGATGACTGTTTTGTCGTCTTCTCTATGCAGGAGGAGATGGACAAATGCTTTGAATTATTGAACGAACAGTCTGAGTATACAAAGTTCACCCGGAAGAAACCGAGAAAAACTGGCTTCCGTTTTTAAACGTTCACATAAACCTATTAAGTAGCGGTTGCTTGACAAAATGGTACCGAAAGCAAAGTAACAAGAATATCCTCGTTCATTTCCTCTCTTCCCACCCATCACACACAAAGAGGGCGATTGTGAGAAACATGTTTCGAACAGCCACCTCTGTGTGCACTACCAGGAAACTAACGGAAGAGTCGTGCGACTTGGTTCGGTAAATAGCCATCCCCAATGGCTATGAAATAGTAACCCCACGAGATAAGTTTACAGGGAGAACGACGCGCCCACGCGAAACACTTGGCCAAAACAAAATCCCGTTTATGTTGCCTTTTATAAGCGATGAAGTAAGCGCAGCTATAAAACGATGCTTAAGAAGGGCAGGTCTAGAGGAATCGGTAGCGATAGTTGAAATACCACCGACTACTCTACGTCGCCAATTAGTTCGCAACCGCCTGTATGACCGTCTGTGTGAAACAACAAATTGCGTAGTTTGCCCTTACGGCAGGGACGGTGATTGCATGAGTTCAGGTACGATATACATGATCTCGTGTAACAATTGCGGAGATGAATATATTGGCGAAACGGGCAGACCTTTGTGTATCCGTATAAAAGAACACCTAGATGGCAAACGAAAACTAAGACGAAGCACCCGACTAGGCACGCATAGGATACAAAAGCACAGCGCAGACAATTTTGAAGTAAAAGTCAATATCCTTGCACAGGAGTCCAAAACACCAGCGCGAAAACTCCTAGAGGCTTTTTGGATAAATGCCAAAAACCCTACAAATCAACCCCATGACATGTTTAGATAGAGAGCAGAACCTCAAAACGAAAGACTTGGCGCGAAGAAAACCCCGTTTCACATGCCGTTTATTAGTGACGAAGTAAGCTTAGCTATAAAACGATGCTTAGGAAGAGCAGTGCTAAAGGAATCGGTAACGATAGTTGAAATACGACCGGCTACTTTACGTCGTCAGTTAGTTCGTAACCTCCTGTATCATCGTCTATGTGGAACAACAAATTGCGTAGTTTGCTCTTACGGCAGGAACGGTGATTGCATGAGTCCAAGTACGACATACCTAATCTCTTGTAATAATTACGAAGAATTGGCGAAACGGATAGATCTTTGTGTATCTGTATAAAAGAACACCTAGATGGCAAATGAAAACTAGGACAAGGACAAAGTATCCCATTAGGCATGCTTAGCATGGCGAAGACGATTTTGAAGTAAAAGCCAATATTCTTGCACAGGAGACTAGAGCACCAGCACGAAGACTTCTTGAAGCTTTTTGGATAAATGCCAAAAACCCATTAATGAATAGCAGAGGGAATGCCCAGAGGTCATACGCCACCTGACTCCGTATGTTCGCATCAATTTCTGATGTGGGATGGTGCAGTCATCAACCATATGCGACTATAATCAGCTGTTCTAAACTTCCTCATTGGAAGTCACGTAAAAAACGGTGGGTTTTTTCGAGAAGTTGTTGATCATGTAATTACCGAAGAGTTTTTCGTCTTTTTGTAAGTGTTATTGAAGCGTTTGGCCCAGTAGATTGTATATCAGCATACCCTTCCAGGCTCTGAAGAAGGCGATACTGCCGAAACGTCAGCTAGTGTTGTATTGCATTGTGTTTCTCTATGGAAGTAAATTTATGCTGTTTAACAGCCTCGCGATTGCTGAACAAGAAAACGACGCATTCATATTCCAACGCCGAGGTTAACAGAAAGTCGATCCTGGGAAGTAATAAAACATAAAATTTAAAAAAATTAGGAAAAAGAGATGCAAACATATAATAGATTTTAGGGGAAAATTTGCAGATCTTATTGAAGACACATTGAAGAAAAACGGACTTTTCTAGGAAACTTAACCAGTTGTAAAATTCTCCTACTCATATTTGCTTGTATACGCTTATCCCTTAAGAAACTAGCATCGCTCCTCCGCAAGGTGGGTGATATTAGTGGGTGTCAGATGTGATGTACAATGTGTGCTCTTTGCCCAAACGGCATCATCCAAGTTGAGATGTTAGAATTGACAGATAACTACTTTCATATTGGTAGGAACTTAATCGCAAAGTAGGAAATCGTCCTTTGGTACACATTGGCTGACGATTGCCTGTGATGACTACTTGCTAAAGGACTGCCTTACTACGGATGTCCTGGGACTTAAATAAAAGGAAATTGTTGCGCGATTCTTTGCGAAAACAATCCGTATCCGTACAAATACTAAATGTAATGGTAAATGCACTCAGATGTTTCTCTGACGAACCTCAACTCGTTTTATATCAAAGCTGATC